CCTCCATCACAAATGAATTACTTGATAGAAAGTGATCTCCCTTGATGAAAGACCTCAGCTCTGTGGTAGCACTTTGGCATGATTCTCTATTGTCAGTGTGCTGACCACAGAGTAGAGGAAACATGAGGTACACGGTGTGGAGTAAAATTCCAACAGAACAGAGGCCAGGACTTCCTGTGGCCTTAAAGCTAGAATTGTTCACTCTGCCCAGAGCACCGGGAATAGGTGAGTAATGCTTCCTTCATGCCTCTACCTGCACAGTGAAAGTGTTTACAGATGACTGGCTTCTCTACTTCCCTGTGCAGGAGTAATATTTGTATAGCCTTGAAATATATTCAAGTTGTAAGCGTGTATTTGGAGTGTGCATGCCTAGACATTTTCTTTTCATATTGGAGAAAAAAAAAGTCACAGTCCTGAGACTGTCTCATACTTCCCAGTACTTACAAGTGAATGTAGGGGAGGTCTAGGTTTTTTTCCAGCTCTGACCTTTTCTATTTATCTAAAAATCAATGGTCAGCTACCAGTAAAGCAATCAGGGTTCTGCCAGACATCTCTGAAGTGTTCTAGAAGCTTCTGCCTTCTTATCCACCTTGTGGTTTCATAAACGTGAAACACTTTGCATTGAGCTCATCAGGAGAACTTGTGCTGAAAAGGAAGAAAGCCAACATCTGACTAGGAAGTTTGCTTCCATGGGGCTCTGATAACCCCTGTTCGAAGCTCCTCTGATAGACTTTGTTTTCACTCCGATTTTCTTTTTGTTATTCTTTTAAAGGCACATATCATCTTACATGAAATTATCAACATCAACTAAAAAAGGAGCCCTTCTCTGCAATATGAAAATCTGCAGCTTTGAATTATTTCCATGTATGAGGTATGGGGCAGCAGCACTTATGGCTCTAATCTCAGCTAACCATACAGATCCTTCTGGACATTCAAGTGTAGCTTACGATGACAAAACTCAGCTCAAGTCTAGGTTTTGGTGGGTTGAGTCAGATCGTGCCCTCTAGAAGGAAAGAATCCCTGGTAGACATTGAATTCCTTTCATAAACTAGTCGAATGAAGGGTATCTACATCAGGCAGCATTGGGATTAAATTCTTGATAGATCTTTGATCTATGTTGTCCTCGTATCTAGAGCAATAGAACTTGCAGATGTTACTAGAACAGTATGTGCAACACAACATCTGCATCTCTCCCGCTGTAACTCTGACCTAAGAAATCTCTTCTCAAGCCGTTGTCATCTTCTGAACACAAGAGAAGCTGGATTCGGCCAGTTCCTTCAGTCAAGAAACTTCTAGAGCTTCTTTGTTCTGATGACATGACCTCAGATACTGCAAGCCAAGTGTAAAGCGAGAGTGGACGTGACAGTCAAGCACTTTTGGTTGTGACACGAGTTTGCTGAGAACTGAGGGGAACCAAGAGCTTGTCATGAACATGTCAGTCAAGGATCTTCTCAGTGTGTGCAGCTTTCTCTGTGCCTCTCCCCCCCCCCAACCCCCCACAGACTTAAGACTGGGAAATCTCTTCAAACAATGACAGCTGGTGGCTCTACTAAAGTTTTCCTGTATAGGATAGGACTCCCAGGAAGAACAAGGAAGGAGAGGGATTACCTCTTAGGACATAGTGTACACTAAGAAATTGGGCGGCCCTGGGGTCTATGTGCCACCTAGGACATATGAGGGCTGAAATCTGATTTTAGTCATGACTGTCTTTATTCTGGATGAGTGGATCCCTGCTCAGTTCCCCAGATGCCTACCTGATATTTCGTTTTGGTACCTCATGAATAAGGTAAGGGTGCCCACATGGGAGTGCTTGTGATACCTGGACTCACTCTCCCTTTCTGAATGTTGACACTGAAATCCTAACTTGCTAAGCAGGTTGCAAACAAGGTCTCCAAGTCCTAACACACTATACTGACTGGCCACAGCTGATAGGTAAGCCTGTTGCTTATCCTGGAGTGTATCTGAGTACAAGCCCTCAAACTTTGCTGGGACAACACTACAGATGGTGACACTGACCCTTCATGATTTGCCTAAGTTCGACAAGTGAAGTCTTAATAAAAGCAAGCAAACAAACAAACAAACAAAAGAAGCATATAATCTCTGACCAACAAGCAGATGGATGCAGGTTGTCCCAGGCATCATTTCTGAATGCTCTGATTTTCCTTCAGTGTAAACTTCAAAGTTACACATAACTTAGTGTAGAAATCTATCCATCATTTTAAAAATAAGGGACATTTATTTTCCTTACCTTTTATCTGATTTGGACTTTAAGATCCATTAATGCTTTGGGCATGCTACCATCAAGTAGAAAGCATGAACGAAATGAGGATCTAAGGCCATAAATCAGATACCTAGCATCACTCTTCCTTCCTTTCCTTGCTTTGTTTTTTCCTTTCCAAGCTTTCATTTCTATATGTTATCTATGCCAGTCCATTCATCTCCCCAGCCTCTCTCTTTGTTATGACAGTTCATACTGGGATGGAGGGGGATGGGGCATTAAGTTTAGCATTGGATTCCTCAGTGAGTGAATTCTGTTACTGTCATCCATCATACCCTAGGAAAGTAACTTGCTCAAGACCACGGTTGCTTGCATACCACAGAAGTGGATAATGAGCATCCAAATTAAAAAAAAAAAACCCAATGTAGGCATAAGTCATAGTAAGACTGCAAGGGAAACTGGCCTGGCTCGGTCAGCGCAGCAAGAGAGACTAGATTTCCTCACTCTCAGATGGGGAACAGACCTGATAAGCACAGGGTCTGCCTGAGTGAGCTAATGAGAAAAGTACAAACAGTGTATTTTATTCTGATGTTCATTTATCTATGATGAATGCTAGGACTAAAACATGAAAAGAAGTATTTTTAAACTAAATATTTAAAGGAAACCTCAAGAGCTAAATACTCTAAATAGTTTTACTACAGCCCATATTCAGGAGAGCTGAAGACTTCAAACACCATGCATCTCTATTGGGCAAGTCTTGGAAGGCTTTCCTTTCAAGAAAATCCACAACTTAGAGGGATCACAGTAAACACACTCTCACTTCAGGGTTGCCTCACCTGCTGAAAGTTACAAGCCAGGATCCAGGAAGCACCAGCTTTAGCATCGTTATCAACGCTGAACCTCTGGGACAAGAGTCCACTGAAAGAGTCATGGGTATAAATATCTGCACACAGAATGAATACATTCCCTGGCGCGCCAATCTCTTTCCATCTGTACACCGCTAGTATGTTCCCACGGAGCAGTTCAAAAGGCCACCGTTGAGTCACTATCATTGCTTCATCTTTCAAAAATATTTAATTACATTTCTTATACACTAGTCGTTGCAAGCAGTAACTTAATACCAGAGGGGAAAAAAGAATAAATCCCATGCCCTCTTAACTGCAGAGCGTCTCTCTGGCCCCAAAGTCTTCATTCGTGTCACTCACATGTAAAACTAATGAAATACCTGAAAAAAATGAATTGTACATATCTAAAGAGCTTTTCCAAATTGCTGTCATCATGACAACTTTTAAGATTAAGTACGATACAGTGACATGCAAAACAACAGCACTAGCAGGTGGCACAGGACACACTTCCTGAGCTGCCTTGACAGGCAGAACCCCATAAATGATCATCTGTGATGTATCTGAAGCAAGCTCCACTGAGCTTCACTTGCAAACCAAAGATAAACATTCAAATAAACAACATGCACGAAAAGATGACAAAAGAGAAAATTATTTTAAGATGAACTGATGAAAGAGAAGCCATGTGAAAAAAAGAACCCATCTGAGGACTAACTACTACAAGAATGAATTTTTTAAATAAATATTTTCATAACTCAAAAAACTATACTTACAATAAAAGTCACACATAATACATTTTTAAACTACGTGCAGGGACATTCCAAACTGCCGTGACACAAAATGTTAGCATTAAGAAATATCTTCCATACTCTTTGCTCTCATATTGCATATGACTTTATGATTAAAGAAACATGTTTTGATAAAATACAGTAAACTTTGAAAGAGTAGACTGATAATTTTTCTTTGGATTGTTCTTCACACATAATTTCTCTCAGAAGATTCTGAATCTAAAAATCTTTTACTGTGAGTGTTATGGACAAGTTCAGAACTATGGTTCCGGCATCTTGTTAACCATACTGAGAACACAGAACCTCTCAAACCCTAGAGGCAGTCCTTGCTTCAAAACACATCTTTTGCAGACAATGGGATGATGCCAAACATAGGTAATTCCATGGGATGTGAAGTGGAACCAGACTTCAGGCATTGTGTGGTGAACCTGTTTCTATCTTCCTTAGAAAATAAGAAGGAGAGTGTTACCAAGCACGTTCTATTGGAACCATTGTTCAAGAGCTAATAGAAAGACTCCATAAGTATTGGCGAAATCTCAAAAAACTATTCAAGTACAAAACAGCCCTTTTAGCAGGATCTCAATTCTCACGAATCTCTCAATGGGTGCTTCCACATACTTATGGCCAAGCGGAAAGTGGCATTAACCAAATGAATATGAAGCCCTCAAGTGATTTTAAATGTCCTCTCCAAATCATTACAAAATACTATCCGTTGTATAATATAGGAATAACTGAAGCTTAGTTATATAGGGAGGATTGGCAACCAGTGTGTGTGTTGGGTGATTGTCTCAGCCATAGCACTTACATAGACTTTGGGCTCACAGAACCCGAAAGGGGTATAAATTAGTTGAAAGGAGAATACCATTGCATCCATGCTTGATTTCATACTTTCTTTTCTTTAAGAACACCTATATATTTGATTTATTAATATTAAATATTATCAAAACACAGCGCAGAAACCAACATTAAGCCAGAACAACAAATGTCCTGAAAATATACTCCAACAGCTGCCGTTTCTTCAGCTGTCCTTTTGAGATATCCTCTTGCAAGGAGAATGCTTCTCATGGTCTCTAATATCTGCCCTCCCATCTTCCCCACAGTATGTTATCGTGGCTAATAGATAAGCCTTATCAACAGAGCGCTTTAATCCTGGGACAGCAGCAATTAGGTATTGTTGGGATATACCAAACACATGGCTCTGGAACCTCAGACGCCTACAATTTAAGGGTCCGTTCATCACCGGGGAAGCTTGCTTCCTGAGGAGAAAACAGAAACGAACCATGAGTTAAGCTCTCATCTGCTATAACATGTTCAACAACGCACGGCCTCGCCTGTGTTTGGTTTTATGATGGCTCTGTTATTTTGAAACATCGTTTGTGTTTTAAATTTTGAAACAAAAGTCTATAGAGAGATTTATCTGGCTTCTCTTTAAAAAAAAAGAAATATAATCTCTCCTTACAAGCCTTTTCCTGGAATTTTGAAAGTTCTCTTTCCTCTGGCAGCTCATGAGGTAGAATATTGACAAAGGCAGTGTTAATTGCTCTAGAGATGGACAGCGAAACTGTAATGCAAGGTTGGCTGTCCAATGGAACACTTGAGGCAAACAAAGGCCATCCTTTCTAAATACCATGAGCTTCAACAGGTCTGGGTGCTGACTGAGAAGCAGGGAAGATGGCCTGAGTGCTTTGGGCCACTTGTTTACACTCTGTTCCTGTAGATCACGGTAGAGCTCCTAGTGTAGACTGCAAAGAGGGGGAAAGAGCACCTGTCTTCCAAATATGTGACACAGCTTAGGGCTTCCGAGGTCCCCTTTCTTTACAAAGGGGACATGTGAAGGTAGCTGTGATTATCTTAGTTTTTGTCCAAAAATCGAGCAATGTTTATCTGTAACCATCCCAAAGGACAAGTTATCACTTTCATGCTAATATTAAAACCAGAAATTTATATATTTTATTTTTAAAATGTCATAAAAAACATTTCAGCAGGTAATCCTTTGATAAATTGATAAAAACCAGGAAATGGAAGGCCAATGCTCTTGATTTATACTCTGGGAAACACTACTAAAATGGTTCATGCATGACTGCCCATCTCCTCACCCTCACATCCCTATGAGTTTTGTGTGTGTGTGTGTGTGTGTGTGTGTGTGTGTGTGTGTGTGTATGTGTGTGTGTGTGTGTGTGAGAGAGAGAGAGAGAGAGAGAGAGAGAGAGAGAGAGAGAGAGAATTCTATGATTCTTTACTTTCAGTTACACTGTTTTCAGTTTTGACTAACAAACGTTTTATTTCACTGTGTAAGAAGTTTATAATCTTGCACTTTAATCCTGAATGTTTATTTTTATTATATTTTATAATTGTTTAACTAAGAAAACAAAACATTCATGTAAATCAGTGGTTCTCAACCGTTCTAATGCTGCCACCTTTTTGTACAGTTTGACCCCCAAAAGGGGGCATGAGCCACAGGTTAAGAATTTCTGAAGTTGCCAGGCAGTGGTGGCACACACCTTTAATCCCAGATTAAAGGTACTTGGGAGACAGAGGCAGGCAGATTTTTGAGTTCGAGGCCATCCTGGTCTACAGAGTGAGTTCCAGGACAGTCAGGGCTATACAGAGAAACCCTGTCTTGAAAAAAACCAACCAAACAAAAAAATCTCTGAAGTAAATCATATTTATATTCTTTCACTTAGAAATTCTACACTTGTCCATCTCAAATATCCTGCAATTTTTATAAAACCCCATTTTAACACAAATATAAACTAGAAGAAAACCTGAGCTTAAATTTTTTGATTTTTGATTTCTGAATCTTTAGCTACCCTAGGAATTGAGTTAGAACCTCGTGGACATGCTCTGTTGTGAGCTTTGGTGCTAGCCTCCAGGACTTGCTCATCCTGGAGAACACGTAGTCTGGAGGAAGTGAAGGGAGCTCAGATCTAAAGCAAATACCAACCCAATGACCTGGAGACTGCCTGGGAATGTCACTCCATCATCCTAATGCTCCAGACACCTCTGCAGTGCTTACACAGCACAGGCTGCTTTGTGGGTGAAGCCGAGTAAAGTTATGAGGTAAACTTCCTGTGGCGACTGCCAGAACCACCCAGAAGCCTTGAGAAAATCTGGGCAACTCTCTCCTGGGTTTTATTTCAGCTTATTTGTATGTCATCTTGTTATCTCACCGTTATTTATATTCCAAGTTTATCTTATGGCAATTGATGCTTTCTTACATCATAATAGGCATGTCATCATAATAGGCAATTCTTTCGATTTTTGATGACATAGAAAGTAAAATACAGAAGATGAATGCCCTCTCACTGTGCTCTTGTTTAAAATATAGACAAAGCAAGTCAGCTCTAATATGTGTGCATGTGGTCCTTTGCTGGTTCCCTCTCTATATCATCCACTGCTCTCTCTTGGTCACAATGCCCACATCGACACCATGGTCCACCCTTGCCGTCATGCACATATCTCAGACTCAAGGACAATTTTGTGCAAATACAAATTGATGTAGGTTTTTATTTTTGTTGTCACTCTCTTTATTGTTATCACCTGTACACATTCCCTAGGGACGTGTACTAGTGTAATACGAAAATCTTCAGTACATTATAAGAATGAACTTAAGTCATGAGTCTTCTGAATTTAAGAAAAGTTAATTCACCCCTCCTTACTATTTTTACATTTGTACAAAGGGTCACTAAACAGTCCTTTGGGGATTTCTGTTGTTTTTAAACACAGCTTGGCAGAGTCGAAGCATCTGAGGGGAGTCTGTCCCCTGAGATTCCACATTCTAGTGAGGTGTCTTCAGTTAGTATTTATCTCAATGCCAGAAAATATAACGAGTTTTAAAATTTTTTTCATAGTAACTTGTTCACAAAGGCAGAATTAAAAAAAAAGCTGTTGAAACGCTTAAATGCTTTGTTCTCCAAGATACTCATATAAAAGTGTCTCCTCTTTCTTACTCCAAAGGGACATTCATAACACGTCAGAAGGAGGGATGGTGGGCAGCCTTAGCTCTTTATTACAGGCTGAGGACAGAGGAGTCTGTGGTTAAATCCTGGACCAGGTGCTTATACTCTACATTACCACCAGTGGGGAAAGCAAGCAAGCAAGCAAGCAAGCAAGCAAGCAAGCAAACAAACAAACAATCACAGCAGTTTTCATTGGGATACGTCTAGATCAGAGCCTTCAGTTCCGAAAATAGAAACTTTCAAAACAATTCAAATGCAGACATTTTCGTACTAAAGAAACCCTAAGTTCTCAACACTTCAAAACCTGGGGGAGGAGAGTGTCTTCCTTACTGCTGGAAGTGAGACATCAGGGCTTACCTGGGGCCAAGGACGCCCTGAGGCCATCAGGAAGGCCCACCAGGAGTCTGTCCAGGTGCATGATGGCCTAAAGTTCAGATGCTACTTTCAGAACAGGAAATGACAGCAGTGTAAAACTGCTGGCAGGAAGCATTTTGTACTTCAGGTTCCTTCCATTTTAACTACAATAAGGCGGCAGGGAGAGTGTTAATGTTGAATGACCTTTATGGCTACTCAAATTCAACACAAGGAGGGCACCTGAGTGCGTAGGAGCTATACATTGACCATGAACTGTGATTGGCCAGCACCCAGCTTAGCCAGCACACATAAACACAAACCCCACCTTCCAGCTTCCTGGCACTAACCTGGATCAGATGTCAATCAGGCAGGTCCCTGTAACTTCTGGCTGGGGGTTTCTTTGGCCTTCTTGCAGGTAAACAGCCACTTTATGATACGGGCATTCCTTTCTACTACGGAGGTGGTGCTAGGCACCTGCTCCAGGAGCTCCTCTTCTTGCAATCCGTCCTCGCTGTGCCTGGAGAAGCTACTATCAGAAGTAGCCATGCTCACGCTACGCACTTTGAGTGTAACACAGTCGGATCCAGCAGAGAAGTTCTCCCTCCCGAGAGCCTCCACTACATCAGGGTCCAGGCCACAATACTGGAAGAAGGTGTCAGACTCAGCCCTGGCTATCGAGTAGCGGGAGCTGAGATCTGACTGAGAGCGCTGCAATCCTTTGCTACGAGACATCCGCAGCTCCACTCCGGAGCTTCCGACGGGAACCTTGGGAGCCACTTCAAAAGGCAATGCTGGGGACTTCACGGCTACTACAGGGGCTGGAGGAGGTAACATAGAGGCTGGTCTAGCAGCTGCTGCCTTGCTCGACTTAGTCCAAGTGGCCTCTGTTTCCTTCGTCTTATCCTCAGCCGCCACCCCGGTCGTCTCAGGGGCCACTGCCATTTTGTCCTTGCTAGACCCCTGGAAAAACTTCTTCATCAGTCCCACTCTGGAACAGTCTGCATCTGACCCTCGTACGAATTCACATTTCTGCCGATAGATGACCAATGAATCAGGTCTCAGAGGCTTTCGAGCGAGAGCCCTGCGGGCTACAGGAGTTGGGGCAATAGCGGAAGGGATCGGGTTGCGGTGCTGCACCCCTGTGGCCTCAGGGACCCTGTGTTCGGATACAGGACCCCGGCTAGATCCCAGCGTGCTGCGAACATACTTGGCGCGGTCAGCTGCCAGTCTCTCCACAGCGCTCTTGTTCGCTGGCGGCGCGGTGAGAGTGTCCTCTGCTGCCCTAGGGTCCCCGAGAGGCGGTCGCACTCTGGCAAGCGAGTCCAGGGTCGGCAGGGCGCGCATTCTTGCAGGACTCGAACCCACCAAGCTGGTGTCCAGTAGAGACTACTCCTGTTCCGGTGCCACCCTGCCTGAGTCCGTTCCGAAGTCCGCAAGGGGTGGGGAAACACGCCCTACGGCCCCTCCGCCCAGATCCGGAGCTGGGGCGAGCCAGAGTGGCTGGGAAAGGTGAATCATTCCGGCGCCAGCTCGCTCCTCCCACCCAGACTTGAACCTCCTACACCTGGTGTCCCCGCCCCCTTACCTTTTGGTTTCCCGGACCGATACCCACAACCCCAGCCTCCTGTCAGGTGCCCTATCTCTTGCTTCCTACCTACTACATCCAAACATCCCTCGCTTCCAGCCACTGCTCGCAAACCCTCTCCTCTGTCTTGCCGTCCCCCAACCCCGTACTCCCTCTTCTGGAAGGTGGGGAAGTTTCACAGGGTAAGGCTGCAAGGGACCAAGTCTATTTGCTCAGCGCCAGCCATCCGAGGCTTCCTTCCAGCTCTCAGAGTCTTTGAGGTCTTTTCTTGCTGGGGGCTCACGGTTCCAGAGATAAGAGTCAGAAAAAACCTTCCCCCTTCCCGGTGCGCCCTTTCACGCATACACACAGTTTATGCCCTTTTAATTCTTAACGTGATCTCATTACATTTGGAGAATTTTCTGTTTTATTTCTGTGGTTTCTATGTACTATTTGGAGGAAATAAGGGTACGAAAGAAAAGAAAACATTTACCATGTCAAGATTAGTCTGGGCGGACAGAACCCAAGAGCCACCCGAGACCTGACTTAAATCCAGAAGTTATTGGCTGGTGCTGCAAGTCTCATTACTTTTTTTTTTTTTTCTTGAAAAAACGCCTAACACCTGTAAGACTCAACCCAGGTGATGAGAAAACCTAGGGTTTGCCAGCAAGGGAGATCAAACCAAGAATGCGGAAAGCTTAAGAAGACATTTTCAAATTCCATCGTTCAAAAAGTTGGACAGAAGACTGAAAATATCTGCCAGGCACGTTATCTCCTTTGTAGGGGCCAGTCTCGGGTCGTGCTGACCGGCTCAAGCTGCAGTTACATGCCCTGGACACAGAGTTGCAGGGTTTAGTCCAATTCTTTCTGGAAACGAGCTTTGAGTGCTGTTGCACCATAGGAGGGGCACAGAAGCCTTGCTAAAAAGAGAGGAGCATAGCAAGTATGTTTAGTGAGCCAGGGAAGAACCACATGGACACCCAAGTCAGCTGAAAATCAGGCTGTCCACATAGCCTGGTTGGAAATGAGATACTTTTTTTTTTCCCCTCGTTGGAAAACGGGAGGGTACTCAATAACTTATGAGAGTCAGAGAGAAATAAGGAGAACTTGAGAAAGAAGACACAGAGAATGAGTACTTAGAACAGGTTGCTTTCTCCACAGTCAAGAGAGCCTAGCAGTCCTGATACTACACGCGCCGAGTCTGGTGTCTAAGTCAGAGGAGAAGCAGCCCTCCCACTTAAGGGGAGGGAATCCTTGCTGCTGACTCCTAGCAGAGGCAGTTATGAAAGGACTATAAACACCCATGCCCTTCTATATGTCCAAACTCAGTGTCACCATCACTAACTACATATTTTTGGAAAGGTAGCCAACTTCTCTTCTTGGGTGTTTGTTTTGTCATCTGTTAATCCTGTTCTCATAATTTGCAACCATTCTGATTCAGAAGGACTGAGGGCTATGATATGCTAAGCAGGTAGGGGGTAGATCTGTGCTCAATCTCCTTGAGAAGCTGAAACACAAACTATTGATTGTGTAAAGTACTACTCACTGTCCATCTGCTGGTTTTCTAGTTAGTGAGATGATTTAGGGGTTTCCATTACTGAGAAGAGACACCATGTCCAAACCTGCTTTTACAAAGGACAACATTTAATTGGGGCTGGCTTACAGATTCTGAGGATCAGGCCATTATCATGGCAGGAAGCATGGCAGCATCCAGGCAGGCATGGCACCAGAGGAGCTGAGAGCTCTACATCTTGTTCTGAAGGCAAACAGGAGGAGACTGGCTTCCAGGGAGTTAGGAAAAGGGTCTCAAAGCTCATGCTCAAAGTGACATACGTCCTCCAAGAAGGCCACACTTACAAATAGTACCATTCCCTGGGACAAGCATATTCAAACCATAGATGGTTAATGTAAAAATGATTTGTACAGGGCACAGAGCAAGTTTTCAATAAATGTTAGTAACTATTGTTTTGATAATAGTGGTTATGAGTTAGTCAACTATTTTCCTTTCCAATATGTTTACTGAATCCATGTACAAACTTGAACATTCAGTTACCCTCTTTAGAATTATTTCAACACATTGTTGCTAGACAAAATTAATCATATTTACTCATAATTTCTATATTTTAATATGATTTACTGGAAAATTGGAGCTGAAATTAAACTGACAGAATTGTCTCAGCAAACTATTCTTATTGCTCAACCGGAAGCATCAACTTTGAACTCATTTCCTTCCTCGTATCCACCTCAAAAGCCCTAGTTGTGAAGGAATGGGTTAATGTTCTTATAACTGCTCTCCTTGGCTTATCCAAGAGAGGTGTTGAGAGCAGTTGGATAGTCTCTGTAGACAAAAAGCTGGATTGGACATGCGTGCAGCATCAGGAGGCTGGTCAGATAAGGCATGATACGTCCATCATTAGTGGAACATTTTGTAACCATTTACAGTTAGCTTCCTCCAGCTCTTAGATTTGGAAATAGCTATGGCATAAGCAAAAAAATTTTAAATAGCACAAATTTAGAAGCACTGTTCTAAATACCTGGGTCCTGAGATGCTTCAGGAGGCTGTAAGGTCATGACTTTTTGTAATAACACTGTGACAATGTACTTTTCCCATCTCTTACAATGGAGTAGTCTAGATGCCAGTGACATGCTGTAATGTCTTACACTGAGTGCTAATATTATCTGCCTTCAAGTCAGTTCTTATTTCAATGTAGCAGGTATTTATAGTATAAGCCATAAGACAAAATTTTATTAATTAGACAGTCTAGATACCCCAGATGGAAACAGAATGCTTGAAATGAAATGTGCAATGTCCTTTAACAGTTAATGTAGTCACAAGAATAAAATACTTAACCTTCGATATTATAACATAATCATAATGATTAATGGAAGGAAAAAACAGAGGAGGCATTTTCATTTATATGTTCAAGGTACACATTATCGAGTCTGCATTTTCCAATGTTCCAAGTCAAATGTTCCAAGAAAATAGGAACAGAAGAGACTGCCTAAGTTTTCTGATAAAAGTTTTCTATTCCTTTATTCCACATCAGCAGCACTTAATGATGGGTTTACATAACATTCTATAGACATATTAACAGTGTAAGGAATCACATTATAAATAATAATTACAAAATTGTAGTATATAATCATATATGCAATACACTGGTAAAAGACGTGGAATATGCCAACCAGTGAATGGGAGGGAAAACCCTGAGACAATTGTAAAGTCTAAGTGCTTCAGAGAAGGGCAAAACTGCCCTCATTGTAAACAATCTAATTGTCTTTGTCAAAACCTCTAAGGTGAGCTCCATGAAGTTATCAGAATGAACAAGAAATACTAAATCAGCATCATTTACAATAGCCAATTTGAAAATGTAATAGGAAATAATCAACACATAGTAAGAAGAAAGCACGTGTATATGGTAATATATTCTGAATGCAGTAGCTACTGTACAAGGTGTGATGTCCTTACCTGAGCAGATAACACATCTCCTGGTACATGGTAGATAGCTATTAGTCTAATTATATGCCTTTTTCTTGGTACCTGTCCATAAGCACCACCAGAAACAATCTGTAGGCAAGACCAGCGGTATACCTGTAGAGTTTTACTTCAAAGATATATCAGTTCTCTAGCACTGTATCATAACAGTTAGTTAGGATCTTGATCATCTGTCTTTTCTACAAAACATCACATTGGTTCAGAGTATTGATGATTGGACCAATTCTTAGGAGTCTAATGGTGTGGGCCTGCTGAGATCTTTCTTCTAAGGTAAAGAATAAGTTATTGCATCTGGTCCCTCCCACCACTGAGAAAGAAGCACGATGTTTACTGGGCTTATTTGGATAGGAGACATAATATTACTCACTATATTTCTGCCCATATACCAAGTTACTTGAAAAACTGCTAGCTTTGAGTAGAGCTCAGAATGGGAGAAAAGCTCTTCAACACGACCAGGCTGCTGTGCTCTACAACTTAGACTGTATGATCCAGCAGACCTGATGGTACTTGAGGCGTCACTGGAAGATAGAGATGCTATTTGGAGCCTTTGGCAGGCCCCTAGAAGTGACTCACAAAAGAAACCCTTGGAATTTTGGACCACGATTTTACCATAATCTGAAGACAAACATTCTCTTTTTGAGAGGCAGCTCAAGAGCTGCTATTGGCCTTTAGTGGAAACTGAACGTTTACCAATGGAACAGCAAGTTAACGTGAGACCTGAGCTGTCCATCTTGAGCTGGGTGTTAGCTGTGACCCATTAATACAGCTTCTCATGTGCTGACCCACAACCATAGAATTATTTCATCACCACTTCACAACTGTAACTTTACTACTGTTGGTACAAATGGTAATGTAAATAACTGTATTTTCTGATGGTCTTTGGAGAAGACCTGTGAGGTCATTTGACTCTCCAAAGGGGTTTGACCCATAGGTTGAGAGCTGCAGCCAGAGTTCAGAAAGAATTTAAAAGGGTAAGTTTATTCAGTAGTAAGCCTCCAAGCAGACAATAGCATCTGGCGAATAAAAGTTACTTTTACAGGTCATTGATTAATTCTAGAAGGAAATGAAAAATTCCAAAAATGGTAAGTAAATGAAGACACAAAATGTTATAATCTGTGGAATATAATAAAGGCTGTCCTAAGAGGAACATTTTATAGTGCTAAAGGTCTACATCAAAAACTTAAGAGATTTAAAATAAATGAATGATGATATAACCTTAAAGCAGTGGTTTTCAACCTGTGGGTCACAATCCTTCTGTGAGTCACATATCAGATATTTATATTCTGATTCCTAACA